CGTCCTCATATTTATACATACCAATGTATATAATTTAAGAGAAGATATTTCGCTGCAAAGCAATGATTATAAATTGTTAGTTTACCTTACAAAATTGCGGAGGAACATTACAGAGTATACGGAAAAAAGTTTGTTTTTTTACATATTTTATTTTGAATACCATCTGGTCCGGCTATTTGGTTTACTATACAGGTATGTAGAGCTATGAATTTAAAAAATACATCAGGGTTTAGTTGAGATATTTGCTTTTGACCACTATGTTTTGTACATTTCCCCGTACTGCAAAGCTTTTCACTGCCATTCAACTGGGAGTGGCCCGCGTGCGCTGGGTTTGGGTCCCGCCACGTTAAAACCCTGCCCAATGAAAAAAACACATGTCTCGGATGATACCCCCTTCTTTTGATGACGATCACGGCAAACATAGGCAGGACTATGATTTTAGGGTATGCACTTGAAATATGCGAACCCTTAATCGGGATGGTGCCTCTGCCCGGCTGGTTGATGTCCTAGGGAAAATAAAGGCTGACATCATCGCCATCCACGAAATGCGATGGACGGGGCGAGGAAGGTAAGCGTGGAGCCTTGCGACGTCTACTACAGTTGCCACGTAAAGGAGTGCAATTCGGTGTTGGATTTGTGGTGGGAGAGAGACCGGCGTTCACTCTAGTGGACGAAAGTCTAGCCACAATCCGCATCAAAGCGAGATTCTTCAACATCTCATTCATATGTGCCAATGCCGCGATGGAAGACAGGGACGAGGCATCCAAGGCTCTCTTAGCTTAGAGCGTACATATTAGCTGAGGGTGATCGACTTCGCCAGGGCTCAAACTTGGCAGTATGTATTACTGGGTTCTAGCATAGAAAGATCCATCAAGCTACATGTATGTCTCCACATCGAAAAACGGGAAACCAAATCGAGGATGTTGTGATAGACGGAAGGCATGCTTCCATGTTTTAGATGTACATACGTACACTCCTAGGGCCAAACATCGACTCGCACTACTATATTGATGCATCCAATATACGACCCAACCTCGGAGCAGCAAAAAAGGGCCCCCAGCAATTCAAAGAAAGTTCAACGTCGAAAAGCTGCAATCAAAACAGATGGCCAATGGATTCGGCGCTCGACCCTCACACCTGCTATGAGAGACCACTCTTCAACAAACCGACTTGCGCGATCAGTGGAACCACATTTCCCGCTCATTACTGGTACGATGAGGAGGGTGAGAAAATGCTTGAAATGCTGGCCGACAGAAAAAAAAACCGAAATTTTTAGCAGAGAGTTGAGCGACTTACGGAAGGTTTCAAGACTGTTGTAGGAACAACCATGGCGACCTAGTGACCGATGTCCAGAAAGTACTCAGATTATGGAGGGAACATTTTCGACCCTTGTGAATGGCAGAAGCACTGAAAGAAGTGGAGAAGACGAACCCGAGGTCCCAGTCGATGACGATGGAGTCGATATCCCAGCGCCTGACTATGACGAAAAGTGTCAAAGCTGCTTGAGCTGACGGCCTGTCAGCTGAGCTATTTAATTACGATGGCAAGGATGTAATAAGGTGCATGCTCTACGACTGGAATTCAAGTGCGCTGTGCCCAATCCACATGAAGGGCGACCCCGCCATGCATGCTAACTACCGCGGGATCAGCCCTTTAAGCATAGGTTGCAAGGTCTTATCGAATGTATTGTCTACCATAGACCAGGTATTCACAGTACGCAAAATCTTGGAAAAGACCCGCGAGAAAATGATCGGCACTCACCACCTATTTGTCGACTTTAAGGCTTCTTTCGACAGCACTAAAAGGAGTTTCGTATATGCCGCTATGTCTGAATTTGGCATCCCCTCAAAACTCATACGGCTGTGAAAAATGACGTTGAGCAATACCACCAGCTCTGCTCTGTTGCCGTTCGCCACCAGACGGGGTTTCAGACAGGCCGACTCTCTTTCATGTGACTTCTTTAATCTGATGTTGGAGAAGATAATAAGATCTGCAGAACTGAACCACTCAGGAACAATTTACTACAAGAGCGTACAATTGCTGGCTTATGCCGATGACACTGACACCATCGGTAAGAAAAACCGCGAAGTCTGTCCTGGCTTTTCCAAGTTGGACAAGGAAGCAAAGCGAATGGGTCTGGTGGTAAACGAGGACAAGACGAAGTATCTCCTGTCATCAAACAAACAATCAGCACACTCGCGCCTTGGCGTGGGTGAAAAGGTTGCCACTGTTGACAGTTACAATTTCGAGAAAGTAGAGAATTTCGTTTACTTGGGAACCAGCATTAACACCGATAATAATGTCAGCATGGAAATCCAACGCAGAATCGCTCTTGCCAACAAGTTCTGCTTTAGACTGAGTAGGCAATTCAGGAGTAAAGTCCTCTCTCGACGTACGAAAACCACACTGTAAGTCACTCATCACGTTCTTGCTGGTATGGCGAATTAAAATACAGCGGCTCAACTGGCTTGACCATGTCGTTCGAATGGACACCGACGCCACACCTCTGAAAGTATTCTGGCTTCACTTGGCATTTCCAATTGGCGTCAGTTGGCCAAAATCGGTTTGGCGGTTACAGCGCCAAATAAGAAGAAGAAGAAGAGAATCTATAACCTTATCAATCACACAGTGTTATAATCCCGACGAAATCCTTGACGGTGGTACCAGGAGGGGATCGGTACATGACGGTAGGAAGTTTAGTTTGGGTTAAAGTCTCACACAGACGGGGTTAGGCTTTCGATGCTTCCTCCTCGTAAAATAAACATGCTCAGTGAAAAGTTAACAATTTAAATCGACGAATAGTTTTATATCAACTTTTGTGAACTTCTGTTTATTTGTTTTTTGTACGGCAAATGGTTACAATAATTTTAAGCTATAATAAAAAATTTTTTAGTAAGTAATTATTGGTTTTGATTTTTTTTTTTTTTGTATCGGCCCCCGCTAAATTTCGTTCTGGCTACGCCCATGTATATAGGGTATACTACACTTCTAAAATGAAGGAAAGTGTTTTTTTTATTGGAAAACGCAAAAATATGAACTACCAAGTCGGGGTTAAACTGGCCGGAGGTCTGTCCCGACTCGAAACCTCTATTTGCCACTTTTATCTCTCCAACCGTTCTGTACTGTGCAAAAACGAATTTTTCACAAGTTTTTTTGGTAACATGTACCTACCTAGATATGTCTGCGGACTTTTCTTTTTTCAAAATAATGTTTGATTTGCATAGCAGTCTCCGAATGAGTTTTCCTTCATTCAGGTATATCTACTTAATTCAAAAAATTCGCCTAAAAAAGATAGTTTTAACACACTGTAAATTGAATCTATTGTTGGTCTTCGCCATAATACATTAATGAATTTTCACAATGCTAAATAAATAGACCCCATCCAATAGAGGAAAAATGGAAACGAAACTTTCGCGTACCAATATTAGATTTTTACAAAAAATTCTCAGCTTAGCGGGTGTAGAATTTCTTTGTTGTAAACTATAGGAGATGGATGGGACAAATTCACTGTGGTATCAACGTTTGTTGCATTCAAAATATGCTTATGCACCCATTCCAATGTATCGTAGTACGTTTTTTTTATGGCAAGAGCGAGATGCTTGGGAATGAGACAGCAAATTAATAAATAATTATGTGTTAAGAAGAAAATGGCGCCTGTTAGAGCGAGAGCACAGTATGTGCACAGTATAGCGGCAACGCCTCCTAAATTTGTTGGCTGAACTTGTTTTCTCTGCTTAGCGCATTGTTGCAGAAAATTTGAGCCGATACATTCATGCAACGATACCCATACCTGTTTGCCTGCTTGCTGGCTGGCTGACTGGTTGGCTGCTGCCATTGCTACGCATGTAGTGTGTCACTATGTTGGTGCTCCATTGAACATACGTTTCCATTCTGTAGTGTTGCTCACAATGATACTGGCATCTTGCCATTGTTGTAGTTGTTATTAGCTTTGCATGCCGCCGCCACTCCACGTCTCAATCACCAATACGGCATCGTCTTCGTGGTCGTTGCTGTTGTCGGCTTGGTAGTTAGCTCAGTTACAGGCCATTATTTGATTTTGTTTGTTGACGGGCGCGACAACGACTATTTGAGTGCTCGATCCCAGCTCCGCCGACACGAAAACCCAAACGAGTTTGGTGAAAACGGGTCCGATAATTTACAAGCAGGCGTCGCCGCAGCTGCAACTGCTACAACTATAACAACAACACCGACAGCTGCTGCATTGGCAGCATCGGTTGCGATACAACGGTAGCAGTGGCACCACCAGTGACAGTGGCTATCACAATCGCAGAAGCGGTGGCAGTTAATTGGCATTCGCCTACTTGCAAAGCTTATCTACGCGTAGACGCGCAATAACCCCGTCGCAAAAGTGGCACCGATCATCGGCAGTGTTGTGTAGTGTATAAACCGCGGCCTCATCAATGTCCTATCCGGTTCCGGAATCATTTGCAAGTCATATACGACATATGGGAAAGGCTTGAACGGTGGCCAATAGTGCCTGGTAGCCTAACGGTAATGTGTTATTAGGTGTGAAACCACAGTAAATAAATGTGTTAAAAATTTTAAAATAGAAGAAACAAAAATGTATTGTTCGCATGGAAATAACGCGCGATATTAGAAATCAGTGCTGTGATTTAATTTAAATAAAAGCTAATAATACACACACATACATATACATACATACATATTTGATTAATTCAAACCGAAAAGTATACAAGAAAATGGTGTGTGATCTCTGCGTAAAATCGTTGCAATCAGTTGAGTTGATTAATCGTTGTGCTAAGTGAGATTACCTCCTATAGATAAATTTTAGTGTCATACCTATGTACATATTTTTAAAATAACTAAGGTACGTTTGCTGTTTCAAGTCGTGACGCACAGTAAATTTTAGCTTTTGTTGTTGTTGTGTTTGTCTCTTTTTCGACCGCCGCTAAAAATTACACAAAATTCGTGGCCTGGAATAGTATGCGAATTAGTTCACAGTGGATTCAACGAATAAAATGGCCGTTGGACCGACGGAGGGCAAGCAACCTCCCACAGAAACATTTTCGCCTACACATCAGATTATAGCACCCAGTCCCATATTGGCAGTGCCAACGCTCGCCTTCTCCGCCGCACAAGTGGAAATTGTCTGCAAAACGCTGGAGGATTCCGGGGACATAGAGCGTTTAGCGCGCTTCCTCTGGAGTCTACCGGTGGCCTTGCCGAATATGCACGAGATATTAAATTGTGAAGCAGTACTCAGAGCGCGAGCGGTTGTCGCCTATCATGTCGGAAATTTCAGGTATGGAACTACATGAGAATTGAAGTCGGTTTTGTTTTTTGCTAAAAAATTAGGTACTTGTTTATTTAAAATGCAAATTAATACATTGTTTAGTGATGATTTCATTTTTGTTTTCTCTACAAAACCCCTGTGAACGCTAAGCATACCTAAACCGAAATTCAAGTACAAACTAAGAGAAAATATTAAAAGATAATAATTATTTTATCTCTTTTTTAAGTAAATGACTGTTTATCAGATGTGAAGACGCCAAAAGTTTTAATTTATTGCATACATTTTGTGAATCGGAAATTGATTATGAATTCATAGAAAGAAACTTACAATGAGGGGCCCTGAAGTCGGAGGAGAAAGAAAAGAATGTCATTTATTCCTTTGGTCTTTGCTCTTTCAAGATTGAAAGATGAGTGGTGCGAGGCCCCCTTCAATTTTGTACCACCTCGAAGTAACAGATACTTTTCGGAATCCAACCAAAAAAACGGTAAAAACATCGATGTTTTAATTCGATACATCAAACTATCATCGATGTGATTTTTCGAAACATCGATAGCCTTACCAAGATTTACAACCCAATATACCTTCGGCCCAAGGTTCCTATTCCCACTGCTGTCTGTAAATTCGGAAATATATGTAGTGAATGCCAATCACAGCAGTCATGTTACAATTTGGTGCAATGAAGTGAGATACAATTTTTTGTCCAGTGAAAGCCAATCAAAGCAGACTTTTGCACCGAATAATGCTTTGACGGTGATAGAAAAACCTCATAAAAATACCGCGCAAAAAGTATGTGCAAAGAAAATCTTTGTTTGGGAAAATTTTTAACGGCAGCCAGTAAAATATACATATGTATATTAATTTCAATATGAAAATTGTAAACCAAACAAAAATCCCCATCAAATCGCCACATCCCCAAACGAAAAAAACGATCCCCCTTATAAACATACTACGCAAAAAGTACGAACAAAGAAAATATATGTACTTTAATTTCAATATGAAAATTGTAAACCAAACAAAAATCCCCATCAAATCCCCGCATCCCCAAACGGAAATTCATCCCCAAATGGTTTCATAAAACCCCAAAATGGGGCAAAATCCCCATATCTGTCACCACTGGGCAAAGCTCATCTTTTCATTCTGAGCAATTTGGTATGTATACGTCTATATCTATCTCGATTCGTTCGAACCTCTACTACTGTTAAGTGGCTCGTGTCTCTAATCCTTGTCTGATCTACGTATGTCAAAGAACGTAAATACGTTCTTTGTCTATGTCTAATTCTTACTAAATACACAGTGTTTTTTCGCAGATCTGACTGCGAAATTCACAAAAAAGTGCATATTTAAAGCCGGATTTATTATAAAACTGGTATTCGGAAATTCGAAACTATTGTTTTAAAATAAAACTTAGACCCTTGACTGCAAGTTCAAGTAAATTTCTTTGCATCGAGTCATCCATTTGGATGCAATAACTCGAAATCATTGGGTAAATAACTAAATTGTACCCTTTATTCACTTAGTTTTTTTTTGTTATTTATGTGAAACAATAGTTGTATTTTTTTACCCATTTTCCAGTAAGATCCAGTAAAAATTGTTACGAAATTTCATGTTTTGGCGTTTTCGTACGCAAAAAGTTACAAAGTAGTGGAAATTGAGAGAGAGAAAATGACAGCTGCAGTTGCAAGTTTTTAATGGATACATTTTTACTTGTAACGATTTCCCAGTACGAAAAACAGCTGATCGCATGTTGCTGGATGCAATTTAAACTAATGAGGAAACTGTTTATAGGGTTTTCATAGTTGAAATTGACAAAATAAATCTATTTAAGTATAAAATATGTATATTCTTTTATTAGGAAGTTGCTGCGAATGACCAACCAATGTTTACGCTCTTCATTAAAATTGCAAATTACTGAATTTACGTTTACGTACTTTTCTGGATATTTTTTCTATGGGAGCGAATTCTCACAAATTAAGTTACTAGAGAGTTGTTGGCAAGTTACTGGATAATTTTTACATGAACACAACTAAAGTTTCACTTAGTTCACAAAAACCAAATATTTTCCTTTCTGGCTAAGTTGACGTGTTAAGTAATCATTCACGATTTCTTACGTAAGTTAAGTTACTACTACACTAGCTAGACTATGTATAATATAAACAAAGTACACTTAAACGCATTTGCGTCGCTACCTAGGGACAGGCAGCTGAAATCAAAATTCTTTACCCGGTAGTAAAATGGTCCTTACAATTTCACTTAGCTCTGGCGTGTACAATTCGCAGAATTGAAAGGTCGTTTAGTACACTAAGGGCCGTTTTCACCATCTTTGGTTAACAATAATCTCCAGTTAAACATCGTTACCGGCGTTACCGACACAATGTTGAATGTATGCAGTCAGTAACGTCGGTAACGATGTTTAGCTGGGGATTAGTGTTAACCAGAGTTGGTGAAAACGGCCCTAAGAAGGGTAAAATCTTGGCTGCGCTCCACAATGAGTGAAACTCGACTTAACGGTAATCATCTACATATATATAATTGCTCAGTCATACAACTTAGTTAGGGCGATCTGTACACTGAGGGGAAAAAATTCTAGAATTAAAAAAACGTGCTAAATTAAAAAAAAAAACGCATATGAAAGAGTACCAACCCAACTCATTTAAATTTAAGTATATATGTTATAAAATATGTGGTTATGAAGTGCACAGATGCGTTTTCGTAATTAAGAAGAAAAATAATTAATTTTATGTTCCGTCCGATGGTAATTGAACCCGGACACTCTTGGCCGCAACCAATTGTATCAAGCGTCTTTGCACAATCAGCCACAGCCATTCATGGAAATGTGTTTTCAAATGTTGAGTTTGAATCAATATCACAGCGCGCGATTAGTCCCTGCAAAAAATGGGACTAATCCGGGATGACTCCGGGAGCAATCGCAAAGGAGCATGCGACTATTACCACTTTTGATCTCTTTATATGGAATGAACTGTTCGCTTTTGTTCGAGCATGTCCTATGAAGAGGCTAATTGTTCACCTTTATACCCGAACGGGTATAAAAAGCGACTAGTCAGTTTTAAAAATTAAAAATAAAAATTTGCGCCAACTGAGATTCGAACCGGGGTGCTCAGTTTTGTTAGTCGAATACTCTCTCTGCGAGCCAACGCCGCCAACATGAAATTTCACTGACTAAGTGCGTACATATCATTAAATCATTAATAGTACCCGTTAGAGATGAGTTGGGGACTAATTGATCTCCAAATTATACCCATAAGTGATGAGTCGAGACCAATTGATCTCCATTAGTACCCGTATGAGACTAGTGGCGACTAATTAATGCCCAATTGTACCCGATTGAGAGTAATCTCGGAATACTCTCTTTAGAGATTAGTCGCACAATTTTTTGCAGGGGTGATTATGTCATACCATGTATGTGTGTATGTGTGTATGTGTTGTCACCGCTGTGCTTGCTTTGTATACATTAGGGATGTTAATTTTTCGGCCTTTTCCGATCCCGGTATTTTCGGGATGGCGTTACCGTAGATCCAGGAGACCCCCTCTTTCAAAGCTTCCTACTTCTAGGTGCGGGAACTTTCTTGTTTTTAAGATAATGAGTATACAATTTTTTCTTTACTTGCTTAGTAAACAACACTGTATATTAGACAAATAAACAAACAAAGGCGTAGACATGGGTAGACAGAATTCTCCTTTCTGTGTTGCCGGAGAAGTGGGGCGGTACTTCTTTCTGCGTTTCTGCTGGGGAAACCTGGGAATGCATTGCCTTTTACCACCAAGAAAAGATTAACAACTACGGTTGAACGAAAAGATGCAACGCCAGCGGATGATGTGTAGTTTTGAAGCTACAAACAAAACAAAAAAGTTTGAAAACTTAAGTACGTTTTTTTCACTTTGTCTCAATAGATGCAGTAGCCGAATGGATGCGCGTTCGGCTGCCGTGTTGTTGGTCACGGGTTCAAACCTGTGGCATGGACTTAATTTGTTGTTTTTATTTTTTTTTGATCCTATTCATAGATTCTATTTATAGTTTCGTAAAGCGACAAGTGCCACATTACTTTCGTATGACATCGTTGTGGAGAAATTCTTGCAGCTTTTCCTGCGTAGGTTATAGGGGCTCTCTATTACTTTTTATATTCCTAGACATTACTTTTCCACTAGGAACAGAATCTATAAATAGAATAAAAAAAAATAAAATTAAAAAAGAAAGTCCGTGCCACAGGTTTCGAACCCGTGATCAACAACTCGGCAGTCGAACACCCATCCATTCGGCTACAGCAGACCGCACTTATGTTAGTTTTCGAACGTTTCGTTTTTTTTTGTGGCTTCAAAACTACACATCATCCTCTCGTTTATATTGCGATCAGGGTTACCACTGAAAAACTTTCTTTCCTACCAAGAGCTGGTTAAAAAACCTACCAAAATGGCTTCTTTCCTACCATTTCTTTTAATCAAGAAAACGGCGTTTGACAGCAATAAATACATTTATTATTTTCTGCTTCTTATACTTCAAATAAAACCAAATAAACAAACAAAACAAAAAGATCAGAAAAATAGCTATTATATACATACATATAGCACACAAAAAAAAGTGTGTGACTTATTACTAGACCCAAAAAGTGGCAAAATAATCGCAGTTTATAGTTTTAATAAAGCCTTCGGGGTTAATGACGTGAAAAATCGTAACGGAAAATAAATTTCCGTCATAGATTTTTTGATTGTTGATTTGCATACATACATATATTATGAAGTATGTACATATGTATGTATATATATTGCTACCTAAAGGTGAGAAGGTGCCAAGTCCACTCATTTTATACCTTTCATGACCATCGAGCTGATCGATTTAGCCATGTCCGTCTGTCTGTCTGTCCGTCTGTTTGTATGCAATCTAGTCTCGCAGTTTTCAAGATATCGGGATGAAATTTGTAGATGGGTGAATTTTTATAATGTATTAATCATTTGTCGGAACCGGAAGAATGGGACCACTATAACATATAGCTCCC